AGTACCTGTATCAATAAAACCCATTTTGAATGTTTTACCTTGTGTGATGTGAGTCCTGTGAATAGTTTTGTATTGTATAAGCTGTAAGTTTATATTGGTAGTCATGGAAAAGATATTATTACAGATCTCGGTCCAGAAGTTGGGCTGGGGGGGAGCAACAAATCCGTTTTTCCATTTAATCAGTTAGTGGTAATGTTACTGTTCTATCTGTATTTGACATTAGTTTATAATGTTTAGATATTATCTTCTTTGAGTTTGTAAATCTCATTATCTCCTCAGCTAGCATGGAAGGTTGCAGGGGGTTGCTGATTATATTGATCTTTGATTTAATTATGGATTTTAACTGTTGGTAATGAAGAAATTCTCCTCTCCCAACTCTGTACTTCTGGACTAATGTATTAAATGGTATAAACTGGTTGTTTTCAAATAAATGATGAAGGTGAGTGATTCCTTTGTGTTGCCATGTTGGAAAGTAGATGGGATTATTATGAAGTTGAAAGTCAGGGTTGTGCCAAATTGGAGTGTATCTACATGGTGTTAATGATGATTTAGTGGTTTTGTTTGCTTTGTGATATTTTTTAAATAGTTCATTTTCTTAATTGAGTATGATAGGAAGGCAAGGTCTGCAACGGAAGTATTTTTTGCATTGATTTTGTTCTAGTTCTATCCATGAGATTTTAAAACTATCCTTCTGAATACATTTAACTAAATATTGTAATTGATTTGCTAAGAAATAATACTCAAAATCTGGTTCTTCTTGGCCACCTTGTGATTTGTTCTTCTGGAGTGTTGACAGGGAAATTTTGGGTTTCTTATTATCCCAGTAAAATTGCAAAGTTAGCGAATCGACTGATTTGAACCATTTGTCTGTTGGTGTTGTGGGAAGCATTGAAAATGGGTAGTTAATTTGTGGTAAAGTTTTCATTTTGACTGTAGCAATTTGGCCAAAGAGTGACAGTGGGAGGTTGGACCAGCGTTTGAAATCATCTTCTATCTTTTTTAGCAGAGGGGTGTAGTTAAGGTTAAAAAGTTCTGACAGCCAGCTTGGGGGAAATACTGATGCCTAAATATTTAATGTTGCCAGTGTGAAGTGGTAGGGGACAGTCTTGAGCTGCAGAATCCCAGGCATTGTCAGAGAGTGGCAATATGGTGGATTTATTCCAGTTTATTGTGTTAGAAATCCTGGAGAATGTATTAATAATAGAGAAAGTGTCCCGTAGCGAACTGTAGGGGTTCTGTAGATATAATAGTAAATCATCTGCATAAAGGCTAATTTTATGTAGTGAGTTGGTATCTTGTATTCCTTTGATGCTATTATTCTGTCCTATTGCTGCTGCTAGAGGTTCAATGAAGATGGCGAATAGAGATGGTGAGAGTAGGTATCCTTGTCTAGTTCCTTGGTGAAGTGTGAAACTTTGTGAGGTTATCCCATTTGTGGTTATTGTAGCTCTTGGTAATGTATATAGTGTTTTAATCCAGTGGATGAAGGACTCTCCAAAACCAAACTTTCGTAGTGTGCTGAAGAGAAATGACCAGCTAACTTTGTCAATATCGGGTCCGCTCGGCGCGACCTGCCTCTTTTCCCCTTACTCGCTCCCATTCCCTCATCCTGCAGGGTCAGCGACACAGCTGAGGTGCACCACCTCAATCAGCAGCTCGCTGGGTGTGATGCACAGCAGAGGCTCATTCTTGCTGATTAAGCAGAGCGTATTTAACGCGCTGGCAGATGCCCCTGTCCTCGCCAGATCATTGACACTGACACAGTGAGACTGATGGTACTCTGCTTCCCTGACGCTATTCACTACTCTGCTTCCCCGACACCATTCGCTACTCTGCTTCCCTGATGCCATTCACTAATCCTCCTACTTACTGCAGCCTGCCTGTCTACTCACCTGACATCCTGGTTCCTGCTGTTTGCCTGTCTATTGTTAGAAATTAGTAAATTAGTCAGATAATTATTAGACATTGTGTTAGATTTTAATGTCTTAGTAATGTAGTTTAGTAAGATTCAAAGTCTGCTCTAGTCTGCTCTGCTTCAAGGTTAGAAGACAATGTTGATTCTTATAAGTGTACCTTGGCACCAATTGTTTTTTGTATTAATCTTGTGTTAGATTTGTGTTTGAATGATTGTTTTAGTTACGCACCATGTAACAACATCCACACACATCGAGCTACCTCATTTTGTTATTACTAGGTAATATGCAGCTGCTAACCTCATGGAAGGAACAAACACAGAGATCCACAGCACAGGAACTGTCAGCGTGGAAAACAAAATGACGTATAATACATACCACAAAAATAGGTCTGTTACGGGGTATGCGAGTTAGGTAAGACAATGCTCCGCCAACGACGGAGCATCTGCCAGAGGTATAAATAAGGAGGCAGGTAATCAGTGGGATGCACCCCAGCTGTGTGCACCGACAAACGAGTCGCTAATTACCGAATGCAACACAGCTGAGGTGCAGATCCCGCAGGTCAAGAGAACAGAGGAGAGAAAGGTGGAAGAGAGGGAAGGGAGGCAGGTCACAGCGAGTGGACCTGACAGGTTCTACTCTGTTGTGGACTCCACAAGCAGAGGAAGCTGTTGTTGCCATTAAACAGGCTTTGGCATACGCATGTGCTTTGCGTGCACCTTTTCATTTAGATGTTGATGAAAAGGACGGCACTGTGAATGCTGTCCTATTTCAAAAGGGGGAGGAAAGTAGAGGACACAACCGAAAGGTGTTGATGTACTACAGCTCTAAGTTGAACAATGTTGAAAAGGGACATCCAACTTGTGTGAGA